TATATATTAGTAAGATGATCGCTCGAAAGTGCTCTTGCGGAATCGACATCATGATTGAAGTTAAAGAAGGCAACCCGGCTATATATACTTACTGCGGAGAAGTATGAATTTTGCATTTGGGTTGGCGCCTACGGGTGGTGCCAAATCGCGCTAAATGTCAAAATCAGATGTCAAATTCATCGTCAGGACCATTTTGAAGCCAACAAGTGGCCGCCAACCTTGATTGCAAAATTTAGTCGCCGCGGGGGATCGAACCATCGGTATCATTCACCACTTTTTTGATACTACTAAAACCGTTCAGCGAAAACGAAACATGGTTTTGTGGTCCATACATGCGTCCCTACAATATGCAAAGAACCGTCCCAGAATGCACTCGCCCTGAAAGACCCCCTGAGTGCTGCCAAGCCATAACACACCCGTCGACTGCGATCTCAAAGGTTAACCAGAGACGGAAGGTATGCACTCGAAAACTTACATGTGTACTAATTTGTTCGCTATAACTTCTGGAAAAACAACTTCAGAACGCAATTGTAGTACTGGACTTTTGTATACAAGCTCTGCTTATCACAGGCACTTTGCGCAACGATGCGCACTGCCTCAGTTTTCTCCGTGGGCTCAATTCTCGGCTCAGTATGCCCGGAAAAATGTTACCTTGCTCTAAATCCAATTTAGCCTTCATTCTTCACTATTTTTTTCTTGTGTTTCAGCTGCCTTACGCAATGTAATCAACTTAAATCAGCCCATTACGAATACGATGGTAACTGAACCTGTCTGGAAAATACTGGTTTGGATAAGATTGGTCAAGATGTAATTTCTCCGCTGCTACCCATCAAGAGCCTGCGAGACCTCGGAGTGACCTTGCATTTGTAGGTTTAATTTTCAATCTAGGGTCTGCGAAGTTTTAGTGTGCTTTCAGAGATCATTTTTCTTTTAAGACTAATTGGCTCGAAGCGCGAGGCTCTCACGGACGTACCAGCCGTTTATTTCGTTTCACCAACAGACGAAAACGTGGATTTGTTGTGTGAAGATCTCAGGCAGGGAATGTACGATAGCTTCTACATCAATTTTATCTCTCCGCTTTCTCGTGTCCGTCTCGAAAACTTGGCATCTGCAGCTGTTCACGGTGGATCTGATGGGCAAGTGCAGAAGGTGAGTTTTTTGCCCAAAAATTTGCAGCAATGGAGGGAAAGCCGCTGTAGACGAAGCGAATGGTGAGGTCTCACTTTTCCGGTCTCTTCAAAGATCTAAATGGGCTAGTGGAACTTGTGGGCCGCATGATTATTTACGTTTGCGCAACAATTTTGTCTGTGTCATTCTTGATGATTTTTAGATTGTGGACCAGTATTTAAACTTCATTTCACTTGAAGACGACCTCTTCGTCCTGCGTCGTTATAGCGAAAATAGCCCTATGTCGTACTTTGGTTAGTTTTCCGGACCATGGTTGCAATTGGGCGAATCTTTCTCTTACTTCACATGCGCTCTTCAGTGTTATATTTTAGCCATTAATGACCCCTCGACGTCGGATGATCAAATGGCTGCATTCATTGATTCTGTTGCGGATGGCTTATTCGCTGTGTGTGCAACTATGGGTATTGTGCCCATAATACGTTGTCCAAAAGATAACGCTGCTGAACATGTTGCGAAGGTTTGTATTAACTTTTTTTTTCTGCTGACGTGCCCCATTTACGGACTAATTTCTGACACTTCAGCGTTTGGACCAAAAGCTTCGCGATAATCTCAGAGACGCACGCAATAATCTTTTCACCATTGAAAGTGTTCGAGCTGGTCAACTAAATGCCAGTCGTCCTCTGCTTATCATCGCTGACAGGTTGAGATGATTCATTTTAACATATTCTGTAGTACCATAGCTACCAATAGCGTTTTTGGAGGGATTTTTCATTCTTTGTTGTTCTAGATCTGCCGATCTGGCAACAATGTTGCATCACACTTGGACATATCAAGCGCTGGTCCACGATGTTTTGGTTAGTGCTAATTGCGCTATGTAAAGTACGGGAAAGCTTTAAAGTTTCACCAAAATAGCTGGAATTCTTTTGCTTCAGGAACTGGATCAAAATCGAGTAACAGTCTCAGAGAAGTCTGGCAAGAAAAAGGAGTATGACATGTCCAGTGGCGGAACGGATAAACTGTGGACAAAACACAAAGTATTGGAGACTATCTTGATTTCTTGGCTATTACTCTCTCCTTTCACATTCGTCACAACAACTGCTGATCGTTGTCAGTTTCACAAATGCGTATTGTTCAGGGCAGTGCTTTCCCATTGGTTGCCGAGGCAGTTCAGGAAGATTTGGAAGCTTATCGAAACAGTGAGGACGAAATCAAGCGACTTAAACATGCGATGGTGAGTTTCCATGTGTTTTATCCAAAATTACACTGGTGGCAGTTGGTTGGAACCACGATGATGTCCATAGCTCACTGTTCCTTTGATTTTTTTTTTGAGTGTTCTTAGAAATTCGTTTAAATTTACGGTCGACTACGCGCACCTTCCTTGCCTTCCTTCCCTCATTCACAAGTTGTCATTTAGTTGCTTAAATTTTACTTTCGAATCCATGACTTTTTTGTGCTCGTGTTTATATTGGTTGTAAA